TTATTTGCTTTAAAATCAATGGTAAGTAAATTTTATTAGTTTAAGAAAAAAGAGAGTAAAATACAAGGTATGACATATATATGTCTATTAAATAAAATTACTAGTAGTATGTTTATCATACGGTAAAAAAAAATGTACCAAAAATGTATGCCAATTTTATATGTTGAAAAATATAGAGGTGTCTTATATAAATGTACCAGAAATAAATGTTGAGTTTAAAGGATATGAAAATTTGTCATTCTTTTTATATATATATATATATATATATATAGAATTAACGTACCATATAAATAATGATTAATGAATGAGCCAATAAATAAATTAGACCAAAGGCAATTATCCACTCTATTCTTTAATGAACTAATAAATGCTATTATCATCAATATTGGCCATTGGTTACCCTCATATAACTAAATTATTTGCATATTGTTTATTTTTAACGTCCACGTTGAGTTGTTATTCGTCTTTCTATATTTTGACTTTTCTCTAAATTTGAAGTTGATACTTTAACGGAAAAGGGTCAGAAATATCCTTATATTATGTGAATTTGAATAATATTATCTTAGTTAATAGTTTTTTTTAAATGTCGTTATCGTCAATAATTTGATCCAAAAATGCCCCTAGTGCAAATAGTTTGGTTTAAAAATATCACTATTATTACTTAATGGATCATACTCTTAGTACTAGTCCCGCTGATAGGTTAGAGGTAAGGTCCACGTCCCCCTCTAACCTCTTGTAACTTTTTGTTATATATCGACATGGTAGGGGTCAAGCCTAACCCCCCACTCCAAAGGCTCACAACCTAAGGTGATGGCTTATATATAAAAAAAAAAAAAGATCAAACTATTAACGACAAGACTATTATTAGACCAAACCATTAACTGAGTAAATTTTTATTCAATTTCGCAAATATTTATTTAAATGATATCATATTTAGTTGATAGTAATTACTCCGTAGTTGGTACGGTTTATTTGCCAAGTCAAAATTGATATTTGATAGTCTTTTAATTATAATACCAACGACCCACTCCAATTTGCAATAATTGATTATCAATTTCTCTGTCTGAACATTTCGTGCATGTAGTATTAAAAATGGCCTTCTTAGAAATTGTCAAAAGTGTGGCTCATTCTTGTGAGAGATATTGTCGTGTTACTATAGTCAACATTATTTTTTACCTATAAATACAGCCTTCATTTTACTCTCATCATCACAAAATCATAAACACAATAAACAAAGTGTACAAAAAAGAAAATGGCTTCAAGTTATAGCTTGGTGTTTCTTCATGTGTTAGTCATATTTTCTCTAGCACGCATCGCTTTTTCGGATTTGTCAGATGATTTCTACGATGATATTTGTCCCCAAGCTTTACCAACCATTAATCGGGTTGTTGAGGATGCAATCAGGCAAGAGAGGCGAATGGGCGCCTCTTTGCTACGATTACATTTTCATGATTGTTTCGTTAACGTGAGTTTAATTTCTTTCTCTCCTACCTAGTTAATATGTTTGGTAATTGCTTGAGATGTTGTTACTAATTATTATTGTAATAAATGCAGGGTTGTGACGCTTCAATGGGCGTCCAGTTGTATCTTGTGCAGACATATTGGCTGTTGCAGCTCGTGACTCCGTTGTTGCTGTGCGTATTACTCCTTTTTTTCCCAACATACCCTATAGTTAATTAATTTAGTGTATGAATAAAACTGATATTTTGTTACATTGAGACAGTTACATGGACCAACATGGGAAGTGGAACTAGGAAGGAGGGATTCAACTACAGCAAGTAGAACCACTGCCGACAATGACATTCCAACTCCATTGATGGACTTACCTGCACTTATCGACAACTTTAAGAAGCAAGGTTTGGATGAAGAAGACCTCGTTGCTCTCTCTGGTGGCCACACACTAGGGTTTGCTCAGTGTTCCACCTTTAGGAATCGCATCTACGATGAGACTAACAACATTGACTCAACCTTTGCAAGTCAACGTCAAGCAAATTGTCCGCGTAGTGGTGGTGATTCCAATCTTGCTTCCCTTGATCCTACACCTGCTCTTTTTGACTCCAAATATTTCAGTAACTTGGTGTCTAAGAAAGGGCTATTGCATTCTGATCAAGCACTGTTTAGCGGAGGAGAGACTGATGAGCTTGTTAAAACCTATAGTACTAACCTAAGAACTTTCTCGAAAGATTTTTCTGAGTCTATGATTAAGATGGGTAATATCAAGCCATTGACTGGAAATGAGGGCCAAATTCGTGTCGATTGCAGGAAAGTGAACTAAGCACGTGCTTCTTGTAAAGTATTTAAAAAAATTGATTATTTTTCAATTGTGTTGTGATTTTAATTCATTTGTAACCTTTGTTACGTTAATTGTTCGGCCATTAATTTTCCAAGAAATTGGATCTTGTTGTTTTCATGTGGCGAGTGAACAAAGATAGTAATATTTTGAATGAATGGACTCCTCTTTTCGTTTTTAACAATTAGATTGATTATCTTCCGAGTTGTTTGATAAGTAGATTACAAAATTAATAATTAAGTTGCATAAGCTATCTCTTCTCTTCTTCTATGTGGACTGTGGTTAAGAGGCATGTTAAAGTAATTTAATTTAGACGTTTAAATTTTAAATTTGATAAGTATCACTTATCTAAATATGCACTTGAGAAACTAAATAAAATGTTTAATAAGTCAGTTTTGATTGGAGGCCATTGAGAGGTGAGTGGTAATTTCAAATTTGTTTGTCTAAAGTTTGAATCTTGTAAATATTTCATTCGGGGTTCACTATCTTCATAATTGTTTGACAAGTATATTATAAAACAAACTATCTACATAAGTTATCAAAAAATACCAAAACTATGGGGTGTTTGGTATGAAGGAAAATATTTTTCTAGAAAAGTGAATTTCTAACTTTTTTTCTCATATTTGGTTGGTGAGTAGAAAATATATTTTAGTGTTTGATTGGTGAATGAAAAACATTTTCTAAAAAAATTACTCCCTCTGTCCCAATTTATATGACTTACTTTCCTTTTTAGTCCGTCCCAAAAAGAATGACACACTTCTATATAAAGTAACAATTTAACTATAAAATGTCCATTTTACCCTTAATGAAATGATTTACAGTCACACAAATTTCTATCATTCATTTTAGAATATAGACCACAAATTTTAAAAGTTTTCATTCCTTTCTTAAACTTCGTGCCGAGTCAAAGTACCTCACATAAAATAGGAGGGAGGGAGAATATCCTTTATTTTTGGCTAGAGTGTAGAAAATTCTTTTTCGAGAAATCACATTTAACCCGCAAAACCAACCATGATAATCAATTCAACTTCCAACCTTGAAACCCGAACTAGGACATTACCCCGACGACCGATCTGAATCTGACCCAGGACTTGGACTTGACTTTCGATCCGTGACTCGATATTCGAACTAGGACCCTACCCCAACGACCGATCCGAGATCCAATCTCGACATTCGACCCAAGACCTGACCCTCGACTCTTGACCCCGAACCCAACCCCAATGTCTAATTCCAGACTTGATCTGGACCCCCGACATGGGACCTAACGCCGATCTGAGATCTGACACCCGAACCAGAGCCCAAATTGCAAACCAAGATACGACCTTGGGAATTGACCAGACTCTCGACCCAAGATCTGACTTCTGAATCGATATCTGAACCTGGACTTGGGATTCGACTCTGATCCGAGACCAAATATCTGACCCAGGACCTGATCTCAACATTCAAACTTAGACACAATCGATCAATTCGAGATTCGACTCTAACGGTCAAATAAAAACTTGACTTTCAAATCAGGACCCAACCTCAACAATCAACAATCGATGAGGGACCCAAATTTCAAATCGAGACTCAATTCGACTTGACTTTCGACCCAAGATTTGAATTTCAAATCGGGATTTGACTCCGACTTCCGAACTGGGACCCAACCATACGTGACTCGGAACATGACTTTCAAACTAGGATTTCAAATTTGAAATATTTTTTAAAAAGAATTTTTTTGTTTTTTTTTTTTGGCGGGGGAGAGGATTGGTAGGAGGGTCGGGGTAGGAATGAGGTTTAAAAAGTTATATTTTTAAAATTTCAAATTTTTTTAAAAAAACAAATTTAAAATATTTTTTGGATGGGGGATGGGGGGCTGGTAGGGGTAGGGGTGGTCAAGGATTATGTGACGTAAAAAAATTGAAATTTTTAAAATTTGAAGTATTTTTTAAAAGAAAACTTTTTTTTGGGGGGGCGAGGGGGAGTAGGGATGGTTTTGGGGCAGGGGTAAAAATTTTCAAAAAAAAAAAGAAATTTAAAATTTTATTTTTTTTGGATAGGGTAGGATAAGAAAAAAATTAAAATTTGAGGTTGGGGGAGAGTTTTGGGAAATATTTTTCTTAATTTTTGGAGGAAAGTCATTTTTATTAAATTTGAGAAAAATAAATTGATTTGAAAAACATTTAAATTAACCAATCATGAAAAAACTAAATAATATTTTTCAGTTTAGCTCATACCAAACGCGTACTCCCTATATGTACAAACGAACGTTGTAACACAATTCATGGTAACTAACTCCTTGCAATTATGATCGTTTGGTGCTTACACACCTTCCCATTGGACGTCGTCCTGCTTCATACCGGTGCGTCCGGTAGAGAAAATAGAGCCACCAGCCGTGTTATCAACAATGTAATTAAGAACACAACACTGCAAATTAATCAACTTGTATTGCTATATTGTTGTGACAGCTAGCTCCAACAATTTCAAGCCCTTATTCAAATCGCCAAGGAGACTCATTTTAAAGCTTGTTATACTACCCACAATGGTATACCAACAGTGATCTTCAAAGTGTAATTAGATTACTATATATAGAATCAGAGATGAGTAGTGTTGATTGGCGATTGTAGGAAAATTTCTAAGAACTCGAGCTCAAATTAACAAGATTTGAGCATTACCTGCTCAGAAGTGTTGGGTTTGAAAGTGATTAGGGCGTCATGTGGAAGCCTACAATTGTAAATCAAGACGGTGATAAATTAGATGACAAAAAACTTATACTAAAAACATAATATTATTATATGAAAACTAATATAAAGAAAAATATTAAAATTGTTGAGAGAATAAATCTTCCAAAGACAAAACTCTTTAATAACTATATTGTGGCTTCTATTGTTGTTCTTGATATGAGAAGAGGATCTTCAATTTATAGATTTCCAAACTTTTTCTCTAAAGAAAGAATAACCAAATATAGAAGAAAATTATATTTTCCTTTCAGAAAAAGTTCAAGTATTACTTTTATTCATTTTACAAATGGGAAAGATCACAAAAAAATACTTTGACTTTTATTTTTAAAAAGAAATAAACTTCAAATCAGGGCAAAATCCTAATAAGAAGATCTCGATTAAAGGTATTGCCAAATAGGTTGTATGACTTAAGTACTGTGAGAAAATCTATAGTTAATAAAAACGCAATTAGAAACGTTTGGATTGGCTTAAAAAAGTAGTTTTTAAGTCAAAAATAAAAAGTCAAACTGAAATGACTTTTAAGTCAAAAAATAAAAAAATTGGGGGAGACCTACTTTTGGTTTTTGACTTATTTTAAGTCATTTTTTACCTTGTCAAACACTTTCCAACTTATTTTAAGTCATTTTTGACTTATTTTTAAAAAAATTCAAATTTGCCAAACATTTCCAGAAGTCAAAAACTGAGTTAAAAGTAGGTTTGACCAACTTTTAAGCCAATCCAATTATCTCTTCATTTTCTAAATCTACAAGTACAAATGGAATTATACATTATTTTATCTTAAGATTAAAAATTTCCTTTTGTTGCGGAGGTAATTTTGCTACATTATAACCAAGTTCAATTAATACAAATTTCATTCTACAATGTCAGTATAAACAAATTAAAAGAGACATCAAACGTATTATTCAATCATAGTTGTTGATCAAATATCTTCTCTTCATCAATATTTTGTTTAATAGATTTTTCGACGTGAGACTCGTTATGGTCATGGCCATTAATTGATTAAAATTGAATTAACGTACCTTATAAATAATGATTAATGAATGAGCCAATAATAAATTAGACCAATGGCAAGTATCCACTCTATTCTTTAATGAACTAATAAAGACTTTTATCATCAATGATAGCCATTGGTTACCCTCATTATAACTAAATTATTTGCATGTTGTTTATTTTTAACGTTGACATGAGATTTTTTGGTAGATATAGTCCCCGTTGAGTTGTTATTCGTCTTTCTATATTTTGACTGTTTCTCCAAATTTGGAGCGGGTACTTGCTTATAATATTACTAATGGAAATTAAAGGGTCAGAAATATTCTTATATTATGTGAAATTGAATAATAATATCTTAGTTAATAGTTTTTTAAAAAAATATTTTTTTTCTTTATCTTTACCGATTGAAGTAGGATAAGCATTTTTGTAACTAAAAAAAATATAATCATTAGGAAAATGAATGTATTTAAAAAGAAAAGAAATAATATATTAATTAAAAAATAACATTTTTGACTCATTAAATAACAATAGAAACATTTTTGGACCAAACTATTAATGTCAATACTATATTTAGACCAAAGTATCAATTGAGTACATTTTTGTTCAAACAATATCATATATAGTTGATAGTAAATACTTCGTACTTAATACGGTTTGTAATAATTGATTATCAATTTCTATGTCCGAACTTTTCATGCAAGTCAACGTCAAGCAAATTGTCCGCGTAGTGGTGGTGATTCCAATCTTGCTCCCCTTGATCCTACACCTGCTCTTTTCAACTCCAAATATTTCACTAACTTGGTGTCTAAGAAAGGGCTATTGCATTCTAATCAAGCATTGTTTAGCGGATGAGAGATCGATGAGCTTGTTAAAACCTATAGTACTAACCTAAGGACTTTTTCAAAAGATTTTGCTAAGTCTATGATTAAGATGGGTAATATCAAGCCATTGAGCGGAAATGAAGGCCAAATTCGTGTCGATTGCAGGAAGGTGAACTAATTAGCAATATACAAATGATGCTGATAAACCGTATTGTGATTTTTATTCGTTTGTAACATTTGTTAAGTTTATTGTTTGGTAATTTATTTTCCTTTTCGTTATTCTTTTGAGTGAATTAATCCCCTTTCGTTTTCAATAAGTAAATTGATCATATATCTTCCGCGTTATTTGATATATATAAATAGATACAAAATTAGTAGCATAAGTTATATCTAACGTACAAAACATTAGAAAGAATAAACTTAAAACATTAATTATGATTGTGTTTAGTTTCATTAAACTTCTTCTCTTGTATATTTTTTTTAATTAATTGTAGCCACCAAGGAACAAGTCGTGCTTTGTTGGGGGTTCGACATCGTCCCCTATCTAGCTTGTTTATTAATTAATCAAAAAAGAGTAATACAAGATGGGGGCC